GTTATTGCGCGGCCTCTCACCGAGCTTCTTAAAAAAGACGTCCCATTTACTTGGAATTCGCCTCAGAGTGCTGCATTTTCGGCGCTCATTGCAGTCCTCACGACTACGCCAATATTAGCCCACTTCGATCAGACTGCCCCGACAGAAGTTCGTACGGACGCGAGTGGCCACGGAATTGGTGCTGTTTTAGCTCAGCGTCAGCATGGACGTGACTGTGTCATCGCCTACGCCAGCCGCCTTTTATCCCCTACCGAAAGGAACTATTCCATCACCGAAAGAGAGTGTCTTGCTCTTGTTTGGGCTGTCGCTAAATTTCGCCCGTACCTCTTCGGCCGCAGTTTTACGGTTGTAACTGATCATCATGCACTCTGCTGGCTTTCCTCGCTAAAGGATCTCACGGGACGTCTCGGTCGTTGGTCTCTACGCCTCCAAGAATACACCTTCTCGGTCGTCTATAAATCTGGTCACCTCCATCAAGACGCCGACTGCCTGTCACGGTATCCAGTGGATCCACCAGACGCCACAGAGAGAGCTACGGAGGCTTGCGTCTTATCAATATCAGACTTTCTTGATATCGCTTCTGAGCAACGCCGCGACCCGGATTTACTTCCCATCATAGAAAGCCTGAGTTCCGCTACTCCACCCACTTCTCTGAACTTGTATTTCCTTCATGAAGGAGTTCTCTACCGCCACAACATGCGCCCTAATGGTCCTGACCGCCTTCTCGTCGTGCCTTCCCATTTGCGTGTAGATGTTCTCCGACAGCTTCACGATGAACCTGCCGCTGGTCACCTGGGAGTCACCCGCACTTATGATCGCGTCCGGCACCGTTTTTTCTGGCCACGCCTATATCACTCTGTGCAAAAGTATGTCGCCAGCTGCGACCTTTGTCAACGTCGAAAACGACCAACATCGCTTCCAGCTGGCCTTCTTAGCCCTATTGAGATCCCTGCTGAACCATTCTACCGCGTAGGGCTCGACCTTCTCGGGCCATTTCCCACTTCTGCATCCGGGAACAAATGGGTTGCCGTGGCGACCGACTACGCGACACGTTACGCGATCACCCGCGCTCTTCCAACCAGCTGCGCTACCGATGTCGCCGACTTTCTGCTACATGACATCATATTGCATCACGGCGCTCCTCGACAGCTCGTTACTGATCAAGGCCGATACTTTTTATCTCGCGTCGTCCAGGATATCGTACGTTCCTGTTCCACGAACCACAAGTTCACAACGGCATACCATCCACAAACTAATGGACTTACAGAGCGCCTGAATCGCACTATCATGGACATGTTGTCAATGTATGTTTCTCCAGACCAACGTGACTGGGACGGAACGTTACCCTACGTCACCTTCGCTTACAACTCCTCCAGACATGACACCGCAGGCTATTCCCCGTTCTACCTTCTTTATGGACGGGAACCCTCTCTGCCTCTTGATACACTCCTTCCCGCTGGTTCAAGCTCCCCTGTCACATACGTCCGCGATGCCATAGAGCGAGCCGACGCAGCACGACAGATTGCCCGAGAACGACTCATGCTTTCTCAAGCCTCTCAGAAAGATCGATACGATCGTCACCACCGCGAAGTTTCGTATGTACCAGGTTCTCTCGTACTCTTGTGGACCCCATGTCGTCACATCGGCCTCTCAGAAAAACTTTTATTTCGCTATGACGGACCATACAAAGTCCTTCGCAAGATCACCAACCTCACCTACGAGATACAGCGAGTCGTCGACGAAGCGCACTCAATGCCACCACCATCTACTGTTGTGCACGTCGTCAGACTGAAGCCTTATGTGTCACCCAACACTCCCCTTTCGTGACAAGCGCCGGGTCGGCGCTTTAACGGCGCGGGGTAGTGCCACAAGGCAGTAGTGGGATTGGGGCATAAAGCAGTAGAGGGTCCCAGACTGAAAGAAAAGACTACGAAGTGGATAGAGACTGGTTCCAGCCCGCCAGTGCGCCAGGCATTGTCATCACGTGTAATCGTTGTAAATATCTGTAAATATACGTTTTCTTGTAAGAATATATATATATATATATATATATATATATATATATATAACATTTTGTTGGTTGGACCCTCAACTAATTTTGCTTGAGGTGTTTTAGAAAGACCTCATTGCGATAAATGAAAGCCACCGACGAAGGCATGTAGCAAGAGGGCGCCAAAACCAAAAACGAAATATTATAATATATTTGCAAAACACATGCATTTTGCGAAATCGCTGGTGTTTCCCAATCTGGGCTTTTGCCTTAAAGAGGGTCCCGCTGACAGCAGGGACAAAGTGAAAGCTGAATGTTCTTCCGTTTTATCGCCATTCTGTTCAGGAAGATCATCAAATAGACACCATATCTCAGGGAAGCCGTGGTGGCCATGCACCTCAAGTGGCGTGGTGGCGATGACGCGCCTAGTTGATGCTGTGGTGTGCCGGCAACTGCGCGAGTCGTGTTGGTTACGTGTCGGTTCACGAAGAGAGCGAATAGCTCTCTTCGGGAACCGAGACGTGCTTTCTCCATCCTCTTTACAGTGAAGTTGCTCAAGATATCTGTAAATTGAGCTCTATCGTGCATAACTAACTCCTCATGGAAATATGCACCATAGGAATTCGGAAAGCCACGCTGTACTGTGTACAGCACGTGCGAGTGCCAAACGAAATTGAACACGTGAAAGAGAGAGAATGAAAGGAAGAGATGGATCACAGAACGAGGAAAAAAAACCGAAAAAGAAAGAACAACAGCGAAGTGGTGATAAGTAAGTGGAGTAAAGTCATAAAATCAGACAAAAAGAGCAAAAGATATAAAAGGAGTCCCTCCATATCCATGAAGTGAATGATGATGAGCGGGGCGAAGCTGCAATGGTTATCGGTAAACCCGCGACCACGCATCACATAAAGACTCGACACGTTGTTATAAAGGTTATCGTATATATCCCTACGTACACGGTGTTTATTACTTACTTATATACACTTATATACTCACAACATAATCATTTACATATCCATTAAACTATAAACAACGATTACACTAGTGATTAGGAAGCTCTGGGACGCGTTTTTCTTTGCAGATCACAAATATGTGGTCGGTGAAGTACGTGACGAGAGCATGTTGCATGAGAGATTGTAGCGTTGACACGGGACAGGTCGTTTCAGATGGAGGTGACGGTGGTGAGGTTTCAGTCAAAGCGCAGGTGGTCGCATACCTTACAGCTGCGACTGAATGAGCGACCGAGGAAGTAGCTGTTGAAGCGCACGTCGGTGCCATCAAGCTCAGGTATATAGCGATTGCTTCCGGCGCTTTACCACTGCTTCGGCAACCCACTCCGATTCGAGGTTTTCTTAACGCCTCTGCTTCGCAGGCTCTCACTTCGAGATCCCCTTATTGACAAGCCCGCTTCGTCTGCGCGAGCCCTTGCCGCTTCCACCACCTATGAAGTGGTGCTGGTGCTGTAGTTTGTGATTGCTGCGTATACGCTGGCAACTTTGTTCCGCCTCGCAAGCTCAACCGCATATTGGCCGCAGCCCTCAACCGCAGCCCTCCGCGCCGCTGCCTTCGCTTGCAATGTGCTCATGATGAGTAGCTACGTGAAGATGTGCCCTCACTGATCTCTAGGCGACCAGAGTGGAAGTGCACCAAAAGAGCTCGCGCTCGCCTCAAGAACAAGTGAGCACGGTGCGACGAGGGGCTTGCCCGATCAAGAGGAGCAAGAGAGATAAAGGGATATAGAGGAAGAGGAAAGGCCTCGCTACACATTACAGTGGCCGCGAGTGTTTAATGACAAGTCCGCTTGGTGAAGTGGAGCACGGGATACGCATCAAGGAGGTTAAGGACAAAAGAGGTAGAAAGCGTAAAGAGAGACCGAGAACATTGAGGAGAAAAGAGAGAAACTGATAGAAAGAGAAAAAAAGAGAAAAAAAGTTGGAGGGTACTTCAGCGTCGCTTTCAAAGACGCCATATATCGTATTGAACGCTTTTCGCATTGCCTTCTCAATCGCTAGCTCGGCTTTACTTCTCGCTGGACTTCACAATAGTGCAGCAAAGAGACGAATGTCCGTGCACGTAACATATCAAACTGTTTTCGAATGCCTACTGCAAGTACCATTGGCAACCCAACATACACGCCTTTGACGTGCCTCGCGCACCTGCGCAGCTGTACACTTTGATGATCTCGCTGCTAATGATAATTTTGGCAGTGATTTCTAATATAAGGCCCTTGAAGACACACTTATTACATAATTCACATGATTTGACACATGGTGCTATTCTGCGCTTCTGCCACGCAATTTTACATTGGTGAAGGAGTCTCCTTCCACAAAATGACGTCCATGTAGCCCTTTTTTTCTTCGTAGCTGCTTCAAGCAGCGGCGTGAGTCTGAGGTAGAACTTGAACTCAGCTTGCCAAGCAGAAGGCCTGGCTTATATTCCTCTCGAACGAAGCCTATTTTCCACCAGCATGTGTGAGAAACAAGCTATTTACCGCGGTCGCGTGGACTAATAGACATAAAGCATATAAAGGCATCGAAAGGGAAAGCAAAACAAAACGAAGTGATACATAATGAGAGAGAAAAACACAGGAGGACATAGGAAGAGAGAGAAACACTTAGAAACAGAATCACAAGCAAGAAATAGAAAAAACAGAGCAAGACAGGGAGCCAAAGAGTGAGAGAAATAGAGAAACAAAGTAAATAATTCAATGGAGAAAAAAAACGTATAGAACAGAGATACAAAGAGCCAGAAAGAGACAAGCAGAAATGAAGACAAAAAACAAAACAACACAAGAAAGGGAAAGGTGAAAGTAAAAAAAAAACACGATGAAGGCCACCCAGCCTCACTTTTCTTTCAGACTTGTCACCACTACTGTGAAGCTGGCACAGTTGCTTTTTTTTTAGTCTCCCTCTGCTAATGTTTAGCCGATAATGTTATGGTGACGGCAAGACTGTTCGTTAGAAAAAACAGCCAGACGAAGGCACTGCAAAGAAAGCTTTTATTGCCTAAAGGAAAAAAAAATGAGAAGGACCAGGAGGGCGGTGCCGTACAGTGAACGAACTTGCGAGGAGGGGCCCGCGAAGAGTCGAAGTGGTCCGCCAGGGATGCTCAGATGTTGATGACGCGACTGAGCTTCTGTATCCTGTTGAGAAGAATGTCTCCCTGCCTTATGCAAGCCTGCGAAATAAGAAGAGTTCGTCAGGGTTCTTTTAATAATACTAAAGGCCCCAACACCCAAACGGAAGTGCCACATATATGGCAGCCTTTCGTGACCAAAGGGATAAGGCAGAGTAGTGCTAGAATATGTATTGCAGACACAGGTCTAAATTATGAATATCAGGCGCTTCTCCCAAGCGCTCAACAAGATGGGTGTTTGGGCAAGTTGGTTCGTACTTTATGTAAAACAGAGCACCAAAAACGGGGACATTATAGTCACAAAGGACAAGCGCACAGGACAGGTACGCAGACGAGGAATGTATAGAGAAGCACGTAGGAGAGCCTGTCCTGTGTGTCCCATTTTCGGCTCTCGATTGTTTCCCTCCCTGGTCTGCCTTCGGTCCCACGCTTTCCGTGGTTAAAATTGAGAAATGTACCATTTTGGTAGGTTCCTTTGCCACAATATGGTAAAATAATCTGCATGGCCATGACTTTGTAAATTAAAGAAAACGACGGCAAAGAAGGTGCAATGATTAAATGCGTGGGGAAGACCTTCTTGGGGGACTAAGAAAGCATGAGGGTCTTGAAAAACGTTTAGTGAAAATTGGCACGCATATGCGTACCTGAAGTGAGATATCAAATTTGCATGTATTTCAAATATATAAATTATAAAAGAAGAAATTTCCACACTGGGATTTGGTATTTTTTGCCGGTCGTTATGGTAACTTGCAATAGAAAAAGTTGATTTTCAGAACTACGTTGTTCTTTATAAAATGCACTCTTAACAGACTACAGCAATATAAACGTCGCAAAAAACTATTTTATATTCCTTTATGAACATTAGTTGTCGAATTGGAAGGTGAAAATGAACTTCCAGTAATTAGCTAGTGCTTATCAAATAATTACTATCGCAACAAGGCTGAGAAAAAAAATCACAGCATATCCACGGAGTGAATGATGATTGGTGGGGCGCAGCGTTCGTCAGTCTGTCTGTCCATTTGTTCTTGCGTCCGCCTATCTGTGTGATCCTTGGTGCATCCGTCCGTTTGTTCATTCGTCTGTCTGTCCGTCCATTTCTTTTTGCGGCCATCCCTCTGTCTGTCCGTCCGTGCGTGTGTCAGTCTGTTCGTCCGTCCATATGTCTAGTGAAAACTCCAAGCACAGCCATCTCACATCTTTTCATCATGTATTCATCATATACAAGTGCCCCCATCCAGCAGACATTGTAAGGACCGCTATTTCGGGTATGTGCCACTGGTGGTTACGTACTACGAGGGACGCACAAGCCACACCATAAGGAGCTTCGCCCCTAAAACAGAATAGCTTTAGGCTCTAGTTGAAGGTCTGCTGAAAAAGTTGAGGCCAAGTTAGCGTAAATATGTTTACGAAAACTTTCGCAAAGCTACCGGAAGACAGATTCACTTTACAAAATCAAGAAAGCCGATAAAGCTGCGCTACAAGTTTTCAAGCCCGTGTGCTGTGCACTGACGCCACATGGTTTACAGCCCTCAAGCATTTCGCTCCATTTAAATGGGGCCACTGCAGCCGGTATTGGTTGAACAGCTACCGGAACCAATAGACCACCGTGGCGCGTATGTTTCGAATAACCACTGCATAATTACGACATCATCATCATGATTATCAGCCTAACTACGGTAACCGCAGGGCAAAGGCCTTTTCCATGATCCCCCAATCAACCCGGCCTTGTGCTTTCTGCAGCCACGTTATACCTGCGAAGTGTTTAATCTCACCGGCCCACCTAACTTTTCGTCTCTCCCTCGTGCCTTCGCCTTTTCTGCGAATCCAGTCAGTTACCCTTAATGACCCGTGGTTATCCTGCCTGCGCGCTACGTGTCCAACCCACGTCCATTTCTCGTTCTTGATTTCAATTATCATATCCTTAATCCCGGTTTATTCTCTGACCCACTCTGCCCTCCTCTTCTCTCTTTAGGCTACACCTATCATTTTTCTTTACATCGCTCGCTGTGTCGTCCTCAATTTAAGCTGAATCCTTTTTGTAAGCCTCCAGGTTTTTGATCCGTATGTAAGTACCGGCAAGTTGCAGCTGTTATACATCTACGTCTTAAGCCTTAGTGATAGACTAAGATTCATTACTTTAGAATGCTCAGTTGCCGAATGATCTAACTCATCCTTATTCTTCCAGTTATTTCACGCTCATGATTCGGCTCTGTGGTTACTATTTGTCCTAAGTCCACATATTTCTTTACAACTTCCAGCGCCTCTCTGCCTATCGCAAAGCGCTGTTCTCTGCCGAGATTGCCAAAAATTTTTGTGCACATTAATTTTGAGACATACTTTTCTGCTTTGCATGTCGAGTTCAGTAATCATGCGCTGTAATTCTTCCCCTGAGTTACTCATCAAGGCAATGTCCTCAGCGTATCGCAGGTTACTAAGGCACTCTCCGTTAACTCCTATCCCGCACTCTTCCTAATCTGTGGCTCTAAAAACATCCCTGTAAACACGCGGCGAATAGCCTTGGAGAGATAGTGTCTCCCTGCCTTACAATTTTCTTTATTGTGATTTTTTTGCTTTCTTTACAGAGAACTATGGTGGCTGTGGATCCCCTGTAGATTTCTTCCAGTATGATTATGTAGGGTTTGTCGGTGCCCTGGTTCCGAAGTGCCTGCATTACTGTTGATGTCTCAATTGAGTCAAACGCCTTCTCGTAACCTATAAAGGCTATGTGTAGCGGTTTTTTGTATTCCGCGCATTTGTATGTCAGCTGATTGATACTATAAATATGGTCTATTGTGAAGTAGCCTGTACGAAATCTTGCTTGGTTCTTTGATTCATGGAACACTAATGTCGTCCTGATTATTTAGCTATTATTTTTGTAAGTAATTGGTAGTAGGCTGATGGGCCTGTAATTTTTGAAGTCCTTGACGTCTTCTTTCTTATAGATTAAAATGATGTTGGCGTTTTTTAAGATTCTGCTACCTTTCCCGTGAAGAAACACTTCGTATATAAATTGACCGTTTTTTTTTTCAACACAATTTCTCCACCATCTTTCAGAAGGTCCGCTGTTACATTATTCTCACCAGTGGCTTTGGCTCCTTGGATTCTCTCTAGGTCTTTCATTACTTCTTCTGTCATTACAGGTAGCATGTCAAAGTCCTCTGGGCTATTATTGCTTCTTACAATATCATCCTGGTTTTTCTGGCTTCTCTACAACTCTCTGTAAAACTCCTCCGACACCTCGACTATCCTATCCTATACATATTATAAAATTGCCTTCTTTGTCCTTTAATGCATATATCTGTTTTTGCCTATGCATACGTTTGCTTTTGCAGGTTAAAGGCTTCTGCCACTTTTACAGCTTGCACAATTTTCTTTATGTTATTTCATCTGATGTTGGCTATCTAACGGCTATTGACTAACTTCGAAAGCTCCACTAGCTCTATTTTTTGTTGCATTCAAGGCTTTCATTGTTTGTTATCTCTAATGAGATTTTTTTTCATCTCCTGGGATAGTTGTAAGTGTCCTGTCTAGTGGCTATACCTTCGACTTGTATTGCACACTCTGATACTAGTAAGATTATCGTTCATCGTGTCAACGACGCTAACGTCGGTTACCTCGTTTAGTGCCTCAAATCTATTCTGAAGAGGAACTCTAAATTTTCGTACTCTCACTCTCACCAGTAGCTCATTTTTTGGCTTCTTGCGTATCAGTTTATGCCTTTGATTTTTTTAAAAATCTCGGTGAATTCAAGCTTTTACCATTCTATGCTCACTGCATCGAATCTTCGCAACTTCTCTTACTTCCTGTGCAATGCCTGGGTGCGCATACAGAATGAAGTCTATTTCATTTTAGTTTAGCCATAATGACTCCGCCACGTTCACTTACACTTAGTTCGTTTTCTGAAGAAGGTACTCAACATGCACAAGTTATTACATTTAGCAAACTCTTGCAGTAGCTCCCCTCTAGAATTTCTATAGTCCGTGCTGTATTTTTCCACTGCATGGTCTCCGACCTCTTTCTTGCTTACTTTGGCATTATAGTCACCCATCAGTATAGTATGCTATGTCTTTACTAAATACTTTACTAATTACTCACTCTAGGGCTTCGTAAACGTGTTCAACCAAATGACCATCGTAGCTCTATCGAGGTGGGCAGGCCTGGACCGCCTTCACACTGTACCTTTTAATAAACTGAATTCTGATACTTGACATCATCTCAGTGATGCTACAGTATGCCTCTGTGTTTCCAGCGATATTATTGTGTCTAAGAAACCCCACGCCTAGTTCTCTTCTGTCAACTTGCGCACGGTAGTATAGCACGTGTCCATTCTTCAGCACTCTATAAGCCTCACGTGTCCTGCTTACTACACTGAGCCCCATTACACCCCATTTAACACCCTATAATTCCTCGAATAGGACAGCAAAACTACCTCACTAGATAGCGTTCTAGCATTGAATGTAGCTGAGTTCAAATTGCAATGGCGGTCTCTACAGACACAGAGATTCTTAGCACCCTCCGCTGCGTCGCAGGTCTGACCCCCGCCTTAGACAGTTGCTTCGCAGACACTGCAACAGAGGGCCTAGGGTTAATTGGTGCGTCCATGGGAGATAGGGGCAAAGTACAGCACCAGGGTGGCCAATCCTGCTCTGGTGAGGAAGCGCATTACCGGCAAATGGTCGCCAGTGAGGACGCATCCCATACATCCTTGTTTTAACGATTGTTTCATGACACGTTTTAAGTAAGTATGTAATTAGGAATGGTCTGGCATATGCATTGGAACCAAATCTGGTCATGGCACGCTATGTTGCGGCGCTATCTCTAAGCAGTAGGTTCTGGTAGACTCGTTCTTAGCACTGTAAAATACCACCTGACCGCCTATTAGTTTTCAGCTGCACATTACTCGTGGCTCACCTGGCCTTCTCTAATCTGTTTTAATCCCTATATTTGTTAACAAAATAAAAGTAAACCAGTGCTGTTTCGAACTTCGGGCCTCGCGAGTTTAGCCCAGCTTAGTATCCTGGATGACCCCCCCTCCCCTTATCTTGCGCTTATTCTCCTCTAGCTTCTTTCTCTCTCGCTCAATTTTGACATTGTTTCCTTCAAGATGTCCGTACTGTTGAAATTATTAGCCCTTCCATTTTGACGCTTCCTGTCAGCTGACTTGTTGCGCGACCTGCTTTATGAATATTTCGGCTACTTTTATGTGATTGTTATAATGAGTGTACTCGTCGTGGATGGTTTGATTGAATGAAAGGTAAATGCGAAAAGTTTCCAACTGCTGATGAATAGACAGATGCTTCTTTAGGGCTGCATAGTATTTCGTTGGCTTTTTGGAGTGGTAATCAAAACTCTGGCAAACATATATAGCAGTAGACACTGGTACTCAGTCTGAATTCAGATATAAGTACTAATAATTACATCTACGTTTAGCGCAATGACTTAGGATAGAGGATGAGAAGGTAGGAAAAAATTTTTCTTGTTGCAAAGAGTGGCGAAATAAAAAAAATCTTTGAATGAAAATAATGACGTGTTTACATCTTCATTTTTATTTAGTCGAATGAATAAATGATAAAAATTAAAATAAAAGTGGGCAAAAAACAAACAATGCGCCGCAGGTCGGAGAGAAACACGCACATTAGCATCACACAAGCTACGGTCTAACCCCTGAGCCGTCGACAATGCCTTTCTTTGCCGCTACGTCATTAAAATACCAAAAATGTCGGCAGATGGTCCTATTATATTGCCTATAGATTAGAAATGTGGTTATCAGAAACCAAGTCTCTGGGTTACCAGTCCTGACGAAGCAAAGCGTTTATATTACATGGCATGCACTTCGCCTGCCATACCCGCGGTTTCTGTGCGGTTCAGGAAGCTCGAAAAGTGAACTTTGAGCAAGCGGTCTCACCTGGTACTGGTGGTTCTTGATGTCAGGCCGCGTTGTCTGCACCACCCCGCCCACTTTGTCGATCTTGCAGTTGAGACGATCGGCCGCGATGAAGCGCGCCAGCTCCCTGCATGCAGATTATAGCACAGCATCGTTTGATTGCTTGGCGTTTTTCCTTTTCATGATGTACGCTTCAATCCTTGCGTTGCCAAGTCAGTGGCGTGTTCCGGGTATTGCGTCGTGTTGCACTGAAATGAGGCAACCATCGGCATGCACACGACGAAGCTCGATGCTTAATAAGGACATCTTACACCAGCAATGACGCAAAAAAAGCAGCTGTGGTTCAATGAACAAAATTCTCGACCCGCATGACAAGAAGAAAGCCGCCAGCACTTGCAGTAATCAATTGTCTCAAGAATATGTGATCGTGCATGTTCTGAACGCAACATCGACAACGAATGCGCAGGTGACTTTTTGTTCAAGCGCTAGGCTTTTTAGACACACTTCATGCTTTGCAACCGTGTGTTGAAAACATTTTTTCTTTGTCCAAATCAATAGGAAAAATAACACAAAAAGATTGCTCAGGCTTGCGCAAAGCATGGCACAGCGAAGCTGGTTGATCCTCAGGTATAGTCGGGGAGCAGCACGTGAATCTGAACGATGGCCACATTAGAATCCAGTGGGCTTGGCTGAAGAAGCGGCAGCCAAGAGACGGCGATGGTTGGATATGAAGTATACACGCAAAGCTTGCCCCTCTGAGTGTGTTAAAATCGCCGTTGTTCACGGTGTAAAAAACGGTGGCGAATGATTTAACGACGGTTCGGCGCCGGCGGCTCCCTGGTGCGGCGAAGGATCGGCTGTTTTCAGTATAGGAGTGGCGCGCAGCTGTCGCGTTTGCTATGGCAATGGCGCAGCACAGTCTTGTCTTTTCTGTTGACGGACGTCTTATTTCTGCATTTGAGAGTTTCACTATTAAAAAGTAGATGCGGGCAGATCATGCAGTGAGGAAGCAAGATAACCACTGATCGCTAACAGTAACAGACGATTCCAAAAGGAGGCAAGCGTTTAAGGAGAGACAAAGTTTGTTTTGTAGGTGAGATAATGTGGTGTGCATAAGTGGCCAGAGGCGGGTTAAATGTGGGCGTATGTCAGACTGATAATGGCGTTGATTGTACACGGCTGGTTGTATCACCAACCATGTCTCGAAAAATGGTCGTCATTACAAAAGTGGGATGCGCTGTGACCATCTACATGTACCGTTTAGTATCACTGTGAAAGAAAAAAAACATTGGAACCAGAATGATGTGCAAAGGTCACTAGCACGATTTTCGATTTACAGAGAAAGTTGTTTAGAACACGCCGGTAGTAGTTACGTTAAAATAACTGTAGATTAGTGGGGCTCTAGAACACTTCAAGTAATGATCGAATGGATTCATTAAAAAAGTTCTTTGCCTCCAGAGTCAACCATTGCAAAATCTTTTAGAAACCGCCATGTAAAAACGGAGTCGGAGAGATTTGTCGCGCACTGCAATTGCTTTCTATCTAATCTAGTACCAACGAGCGAGCTGGTAGCTAAGGAGAGAGGGGTGAAACAGGAGAAAAAAAAGTTACCTTATACGCGCATTATGACCTTCAGCGTTTCTTTTTCGTTTTTCTTCAAACGCATGTCTCACTTCCAGTGGGATCGTGGATGCGCGGGCATGTGGAGGCATCCCACGGCGATCACGGTAACTACACAGCTCACGATGCTCAAATCACTGAAAGGTTTGATATGAGAGTGTATGGCGTGATCATTTGGGTGTGTGGCATAGCATTAATATACACACTTTAGGGAAAAAGCTCCACATAGGGCCCGTGCTTTAAAACCTATAACCGCTTGGGCGCCGTCATGATGGATCGATACTCCACTTTCGGGTGACGTTCACTTGCAGTCGCCACTGCATGCTGCAAAAACACCTTGCATTTTTTTTTGTTTTGTGGATATATGCTACATCGCAGTAAAAGAATGAAAAATGAAGTAGTTTTTGTCCGCGGCAAGAAAAGAAACATGAACGCCCGGTGGCGCAATCGACCGCACGCCGCATCACCACACTTTCAACGTTACAAAGATGGTGGCACCATCTACTGAATGAACCTGCAAACACCCCTCTTCGCGCTTAGTAAATTGTATAAACGGCTACTCTATCTTTCCTAAAAGTAGTGGATATAAATGTTGTGCAATATTCGTTTATTTATAATACAGAAACACGTTTCTTTAAGATTTGTATTGTGAAAATTGGAGTGCTCTAAATGTGGAAATTTAGTACTTGTCTGAAGTATTGGGATGGAAACAGTGACAACATTCCAAGGTGTCAGCGCTTTCGTTGTTATGGCTTTTCCGGCCCTGCTTTTCCTCTAGAGTCCGTCTATTAACACTAAGGTATATGGCATAATCTGTAAAAGAAAAGGCGATCCATTTCTAGCCAACTTTAAAAATTATTTGTAAATTGCAGGCCACGTGCTGCGCTCTAATGTTTGACTCACGTGTTCCCACGAGCTTGAACTACCGATCGGTAGTGCCTTCCCTACCAAGCCGCAGTGAAAAAGTGTTGCAGGGCTCCTTTAAGATGCGTATACAGGTTCGATCCAATGCACATCGCATTGTGAGACTCGCGAAAGGTGCACTCACTGGTCTATGAAGGACACGGTGACTCCGAAGGTGTCCGCCATGTACTGCAGCGTCAGGCTGCGGTAGGACTCCAGCAGCTGGGAGTAGGCCAGGATGCGCATTTCGCGCACGTAGTAGCGCACGTGCGGAGCCCAGATGCGGTCGCGTAGGAGCATCTGCTCGACGTATGCTGCAACGCACACGATAAAAACACTTGTCGCACCCACACGCGACTGGCCCCGACATGCATATACACGTGGAGAAAGTGTTTGTGTGGTAGTGTTAAAACTTGTTTTTCGACACGGAAGTGTCAGTCATTATAAGGAAAGAGCGGCCGTGGTATAGGCAGACGGAATAATAAATAGGCGAATTGATTTGGTTAGATAATAAAATAGATGTTGCTATGAAGGATCTTACGTGAACACACGAGACAAATTTGAACGAAGATGAAAAGAGGGAGTTCTAAAAAGTGGAACGAAAAATGGCGCTGGAGCCAGTATTTCGGCATGACAAACCACATTCGTGAGAGTATAAACTGATAATATAGGTGGATCGATCCTGGAGGAAGATAGCACAGAACTGCACCTTAGTGCTTAGAGGCAGGAGAAGGTGGCGCACCTACCTCCTTTGAAAATGAGGCACATTTAGGTCTTTGTTTAATAAAGGTTTCCTGGTCCCCATCGAACATACTTTGCTCTGTGAAAATGTTTGGGCGCCGAATCTCATTTTACTGCAGGATTTCATAGAGAGAAGAGTCATACAGGGCACCTGTAGTGTTAGTCGAGAATGAAGCTGATTCGCAGGGAGTGTACGAAATGTAGACGGCAGGAGGGGTTCTGCCTCGTACAGAACAAAAGATCTTCGGAAACACTGGCACGCTAAGTGCCCGGGACACTAGACTAGAAGTAGTAGGTGTTCGAGTTAACTGTACCTCTTGTTGTCTGTCTGGAATCATGCGGGAAGTTTTAACAGACACTGTGAAGATAGAGAAGCAATTAATGAAATTGAACAGGTGAAAGTTGCTCACCGAGCTTCCTGAAAAAGATGGCATAGCGGCACTTGTAGAGAGAGAACAGGTACTCGCTAATGTCTGGTATGCCATGCAAAACTTCCAGGATCTCGGCTCCTCTGACAACCTGCGCAAACAAACAAACAAAAAAAAGACAATAATGTAGCACATCTCGTATAGCTGTCACAGGCATTCGGGTTAGGCTCCAAACAATTATACGCATAAGAGCAAGCTTCCCAATAATAAAACAAATTATTCCCGGCATTGCAGCTAACTAAGCCATGCGTTTTTTTAAGTGCGTGCCCTCTGAGATCAGCGGAATTTAAGGCGGCAACCTTCGTCACCTCATCAAGTGCGGAAATTGACCGTCAACGTTGGCATCCCGTGGCGTCGGGGACCGAGTTATGCAAGAAATCATCATGACTTACTGATGTCACAAATAATCAACGTTGATGGCAACACTATGATGCGATTACGTCGTCACTGTGACGTAACGTTATGTGGTGGCGTCGTTTCACGTCATCGCAGTTTTGTTGTAGGTGGACTGATCACAAAGACCGTGCAAAGCCTGCTGAAGTGCCAACGATCTCGGAGGCAGTGCAAAACCACTTAAAGGGCAGAAAGCTTTCTAAAGATGGCATCGATACGATGAGCTGAGAAGAAAGCGCGTGCGTCGTTCGCTTTTTCGTCCGTGTGTTCTCGCGCTGGTAGTAACCCATCATGAATTTCCAGCAAGCCCGAGCCTCCACCCTTGTGAAGAAAAAGAGGGCCACTTTCGCCTTAGAGACATCATAAGAGAACGCTTAACGGACCCTGTCAGTCTTTGTTAAAGGAAATTAATTTTATTAGATTGCCTCCCTAATTTGATAACTAGTACTAATGAAAAGAATGAACACTGAGAGCCTTTGATCCGGCAGTTGGTGACGTGTCTTTCCCGCAAGAATTTCAGATCATCTACCGAAGATTTCAATACGTGGCATCCTGCAAAATGTGAATTTTCAGAAACAGGTTCTGGGGTAGCACAAAAAAAAAAATTACAGACCTTGCGCTAAGCCGCGAAAGGCTTTAAACAATGAAACTGGATGATTCTGGAGACCAGTCTGGTAGCTCGTTGGGTGTTTCTAGGTCTCAACGAGGTGATTCAGGTTGTAGGCTACTTCTAGGTTGTTGCTAGGTTGATTCTCAGTGCAGAAAGGTTAGACGTGAACCGCAGGCACTGACAGACTCGACACGGGTGTCTAAACTTCAGAGACAAGAACTCGCGTCAAAACCAAGCGTTTGCGCTGATCATGCATCAACGGCCACGTCGTCGTTGGCGCTGGCCTTCCATGGATTCTAGGTCTCCTCGCAGCCACCATTGCCTTTTCCGTTCCCTAGTATTTTCTTGTTGAGCCCACCCGAGGTCTTCGGCTCGCACCGTCACTTCGCAGCCACTTATTTTCTTGCTTTCTTCATATTTAGTGATTAATAGAGAGTAGCAGCATTTACCCAACTTCTGTAACACATATCCGTTTATAACGATGACAGTCTACTGGATCGGCTACTTAGAACCGATTCGCTAAACCACTTCGCTGTTAAATATATTGTCTAGCTCCAATGAACACAAAAGTTTTAATCATGTAAGTTATAGTACAGAATCAGATACGATGGTATAACTGTGATGAACTACATAATATAGCAATAATCAATTTATAGAAGTGCACTGTTTCAAATAGATCAGATCAGTTCATTTCCTCTGAGCAAGAGGAAATATGGTGGTGGGAACAAGCTGCCTGACTGCAGCGTGACGAAGCTCAGTCACAGTGTGTACCACTGACCATAAATAGATGACATGCTACCATAAGTCGAGACACTTTCCTTCAGTATGGAAATAGGTTAAAGAGTAATACAATAGCGCAGACGTACATGCACTGAGTTGATGCTTGCATATCATATATGTGAGACATACCAAGTTTGTTCGAATTATATCAGTGCCGATGACTAACTGCTAACCAATTTCGGCTCATTTTGGAAAAACTACTGTCATTGTTGCGTACAACCTAGTAAGGTAACACAAGTCCACTACTATGTGGACCATGCTCACTGTGACAAATGCTTCGCACACTACTGTAGTTACTCTTACAAATAATTGACGAAGGGCAACTTTCTTTCTGATCAAACCATTAAATCCATTTCGTCACGCCTGTGTTGGTTTATGACACGCGCCACTCAGTTTATCAAGAAGTTCCCAGCGGGAAAGAGGGGTTTAGTGAAAGATGAAGATGTAAAAATGACGCTATTTTATGCCTCCTGATGCGGGTGCGTGGCATAGCGTTTTTAGGGACGAAGAGAGCGAAGAAACGTGAAAGAAAGAAGAGGAAGAGTGAAAGGCATGCTAAAAGAGTGTTTTCCAGAGCCGCCTTCACCTTCTGGAGGAGCTCGACGCGGGGAAGGGATATGACGCAGGTCAGAACTGTGTAGGTGACGAAGCGCTCGTAGTCAATCAGCTCGTAGCAGGTGAAGGTCGACACCGTCTCCAGGAACAGGGTGGCGGCCTTCTTGAAGTCCCGCAGCGCGATGCTGTACACTGCCGTATACACCTTCAGCCGATTCCTACGGTCCCAGTCACCGCGCTCTTCAACCAGGCTGCAAGAACGCGCGAAAGATGATATGATAGAACTCTTCGATTACGGTTGGCTTACAGTAGTCTAGCTTATAAACAAGTGGCTATTTTGCTCCCCATTAATCACAAACGATTTCTAACAGTGGCGCTGTTTTAGGGCTGTGCCTGACGACAGATAAGTGCCCACCTTGCATGCCACGCTCCCGTTTCTAGATACACATGAATAGGATTTGGATGGATGGATGGATGGATGGATATGGCTGTACCCTTTAGATCGGGCGGTGGCTAGCGTTACCAAGCCGTAATACTTAATGAACTCAAAACTATATTTGTTTATTTTTTCCATAAAAAGTGAGTTTGAGGATTCGTACTTTGCAGTGAAGAGTTTTATTTTCACTCGTGCCTTGACTTTAGCCACCAATCAGATAACCTCCTTCTAGTTAAGTCTACTTGCTTAAAGTCTATTTTGCCCTCCCGGTCCCTAAACCCCAGTGCTTTGAAAAATTCTGCGCCATTATCCTGAACTATAGGGTGAAGCCCTTTACAGAACATTATCAAGTGTTCGGCAGTTTCTTCTTCCTCTCCACACGCACTGCATACTGTGTCTACCCCTTCGTATTTGGCCCGATATGTCTTGGTTCGCAGTACTCCCGTCCTTGCCTCAAACAGTAGAGAACAAGAGAGACGTGCTCGTCGCGCCATCTCTCGTCAGAGACAGCAGTGGTCTGTCGTGACTGAACGGCAAACCGGCCAAAAAAAAAACATGTCTGACGAAAAAAGATGGTTATCAAAAATGATTCCCCGTTCTGTACAACAGACAAATTAACATTCTGTTCAAATCACACTGTCGCGCTGCGAACCATGTGGCTTTCCAGACTGTTCAAGACTTTAGAAGCCAGTCGATTTGTAGCGAAATACTGCAAGTTTACCAAATTGTTCCAGTAGGTCTCTGTTGTATAGATTCGTGAGTCCTTTTTGATTACTAACTTGTTTCAGGAGTTGTTTTTTTTCTCTCGCCTATTTCTTATTCAGCTTTGGCAGGACGTCGTTGCTTCCATCGAGAGATGGCGTCATGCATGGATGCCCCTCCCCTCCTCCCTGAAATCTGGTAGTGATAGGATAATTAAAACTCGGGAAAGTGGCGAAACACAACACCAAGGCGTAGATGAGGGACCAAGTACAAGACTCTTGGGCTAGTGTGTGTGTTACATTCAATGAAGCTGCAGCATGCTAAAACACAGAGACCACGGAAACGCACGTCCTGTACACTTTCTGTGGTGTCTGTTTTATCAGTGCCGTGGCTTCATTCCAGTACAAGGGCAGTCTACATATTCTGTTTATTTTCGGAAGATTCTAACTTGCAACGACTAGCCCAGCAACAAGTTTCTAGGACTTCTACTAGGAAAATGGTATCTTGGTTATACCAGAGCCATTCAGAGTCATCGAGTGCTTCTTATGGTCACGAAAATGCCGCCTCAGTTTCATTGGAGCCCACGGCCGCCGTTAGAGACACAGCTGAGCTTCAAAAGCAATGTAAAAGCTGCTATCACAGGGGTTGTGTATGGAACAGCCTCGGTGTTTTAGCTTTCCAAGCTTCCGCGATGGTAGCTTGGCTTTCACGCATTTGCTGTTAGCATTTAATATTCATAAACACCTGACGTCCGTATGAAAATGAGCACTTGGGAGAGAAAAAAAAAGCAGCTCGAAGCAGGAAGCTCGCCATGGTATCATCCAAAACGATATGAAAATTCGGGGGTTATGAACAAGTACCACAGTAGGATTATCCCGAACGTAGCGGAGAGTGCCTGAATAATTTTTACCACCTAGGGCTCTTTTACATGTATACCTAATTCTCAGTACACTGACGTCTCTGCATTTCGCTCTATCGAAATGCAATCGCCGTGGCATGCCCTTTTCATCTCAGCACTACGATAGGGATAGCTTTTTAAAATTCCTATGAACTTAAACACAGTGCATTTGCAGCTAAATGTTAAAGGTATCATTTGTAAATGTAGACATAAAATACCAGCTGTTGCATGCGCACTCGCCGCCATAGATTCTGAACCTGTTAAAGTTGGAGCAGCATCTGAGTCTTCTGGCCACATCTTAACAGATGAACACAATCTAGAGAAGGCATTTTGTCGCCGCCATAGATTCTGAACCTGTTAAAGTTGGAGCAGCATCTGAGTCTTCTGGCCACATCTTAACAGATGAACACAATCTAGAGAAGGCATTTTGCTTCTATTATTGCAAAACAGTTTAGAAAAACTTCACATATTTTAATGTCACTGATGTTGTTAATTGTTGCCATCATGGTATGACTTATTAGGGAAGAAAAGCTGGTATAAGTCAATAAAAAAAATACAATTTACCCGTGCAAAAGCAACATACAGGCACGATCATTTATAAAAGCAAGATACAGGCACGACCCTTTATAAGTTTTTGGTACACAGTCACATGCACGGAGTACCAATGCATCAGGTCACGGATAAGTTCTTTACGGAACATGAATAATGATCATCCACACATAGAATATAGATTGTGGCGTCCCTTTAACTGAATTTTTACCACCACCTGCTGGACACTAAATGCACACCTCAGCTCGTATCTGTTCGTGGTTTACGTGTTAATTTCCATAGTGGTTGTATTGTCGAAGAGGTTGCGGCGATGGCGTAGTGGTTAGAACATCCGCCTCGCATGCAAGAGGTCCGTGGTTCAAATCCCGGTACCGCGCAGTTTCCAACCGGATTAAAAAAAAAAAAAACCCGCGTGTTGATGGAACTGCATTAAGAGGCCTGGGGTGCGGCCTCACCGGCAAACACCGCCGAGAACGCACTCCCTCACCAGAGAAGGATTGGCCACCCTGGTGCAGTATCTGGCCACTACCTCCCACATGCTTACGTCAAATAACTCACGGCCCTCAGTCCCCAGCAGCTGCGAAGCAACTGACCATGGCGGCGGTCAGATCTGCAACGCAGCAGAGGGTGCTAAGAATCTCTGGATCCGGACAGGCCGCCATTGGAACCTGAACTTGGCAACGTTTAATGCTAGAACCTTATCTAGTGAGGGAAGTCTAGCTGTACTATTCGAGGAGCTAGAGGGTGTTAAATGGGATATAATAGGGCTCAGTGAGGTTAGGAGGACAGATGAGGCCTATACGGTGCTACAGAATGGGCACGTCCTTTGCTACAGGGGCTTGGCAGACAGAAGAGAACTGGGAGTGGGGTTCCTAATTCACAGAAACATAGCTGGTAACATAGAGGAATACTATAGCATTAATGAAAGGGTGGTAGGTATCGTAATTAAACTGAATAAAAGATACAAGATGAAGGTAGTACAGGCTTACGCGCCTACATCCAGCCATGATGACGCTTCAGTTGAAAGCTTCTATGAAGACGTGGAATCGGCAATGAGTAAGGTAAAAACACAGTATACTATAGTGATGGGCGACTTTAATGCAAAGGTAGGGAAGAAGCAGGCTGGAGACCAGGCAGTAGGAGATTATGGCATCGGTACTAGAAACGCCAGAGGAGAGCTACTAGTAGAATTCGCAGAACGCAATAATTTACGGATTTTGAATACCTTCTACCGAAAACGAGAAAACCGCAAGTGGACATGGAGGAGCCCTAATGGCGAAAATAAGAACGAAATAGACTTTATAATGAATGCACAACCTGGAATCGTGCAGGATGTGGAAGTGATTGGCAAGGTACGATGCAGTGACCATAGAATAGTACGGTCTCGAATTCGCCTAGACTTGAAGAAGGAACGACAGAAACTGATACGCAAGAAGCCAATCAATCAGCTAGCACTGAGAGGGAAAGTACAGGAATTCAGAGTGTCGCTGCAGAACAGGTACTCGGCTCTTAGTGAGGAAACGAACCTTAGCGTAGATACAATGAATGATAATCTAACGAGTATCATTACGGAGTGTGCAGTGGAAGTTGGAGACAGGGTAGTTAGACAGGACACTGGCAAGCTTTCCCAGGAAACGAAGAACCTAATTAAGAAGCGTCAAATCATGAAAGTGTCAAGTACAACAGACAAAATAGAACTGGCAGAGCTTTCGAAGTTGATTAATAGACGTAAGGTATGCGATGTAAGAAGGTATAACATGGAGAGAATTGAACACGCTCTGAAAAACGGAGGAAGTGTCAAAGCATTGAAGAGGAAACTTGGGATAGGCAAAAGTCGGATGTATGCACTAAGGGACAAAGAAGGCAAAATAACTACCAATATGGATAGGATAGTTAAAATAGCAGAGGAGTTTTACAGAGATCTGTACAGTAGCCGTGACAACCACGGCCTTAATACTACAAGAACTAGCAGTAACCCAGATTACACCCCACCAGTAATGATAGAAGAAGTCAGGAAAGCTTTAGAGAGCATGCAAAGGGGCAAAGCTGCTGGTGAGGATCAGGTAACATCAGATCTGCTGAAAGATGGAGGACAGATTGTGTTAGAAAAACTAGCCACCCTGTTTACGAGGTGTCTCCTGACGGGAAGAGTACCAGAGTCTTGGAAGAACGCTAACATCATCTTAATACATAAGAAAGGAGATGACAAGGACTTGAAGAATTACAGGCCGATCAGCTTGCTCTCTGTAGTATACAAGCTATTTACAAAGGTAATTGCTAACAGAGTAAATAAAACATTAGAATTCAATCAACCAAAGGAACAAGCAGGATTTCGAACAGGCTACTCAACAATTGACCACATTCATACTATCAATCAGGTAATAGAGAAATGCTCAGAGTATAACCAACCCCTATACATAGCCTTCATAGATTACGAGAAAGCGTTTGATTCAGTAGAAATATCAGCCGTCATGCAAACACTGCGGAATCAGGGCGTAGATGAAGTATATATAAACATTCTGGAAGAAATCTACAGGGGATCAACTGCTACCATAGTGCTTCATAAAGAAAGCAACAGAATACCAATCAAGAAGGGTGTAAGGCAGGGGGACACAATTTCCCCAATGCTATTTACCGCGTGCTTACAGGAGGTTTTCAGAAGCCTAGAATGGGAACAGTTAGGGATAAGAGTCAATGGAGAATACCTTAGTAACCTGCGCTTCGCCGATGACATTGCATTGCTGAGTAACTCGGGGGACGAATTGCAACTCATGATTACGGAGCTAGACAAGGAGAGCAGAAAGGTGGGTCTTAAAATTAATCTGCAGAAAACGAAAGTAATGTACAACAACCTCGGCAAGGAGCAGCGCTTCGAGATAGGTAATAGTGCACTTGAAGTTGTAAAAGACTATGTCTACTTAGGGCAGGTAATAACCGCAGAGCCGAACCACGAGACTGAAGTAACTAGAAGAATAAGAATGGGGTGGAGCACATTTGGCAAGCACTCTCAAATTATGACAGGTAGTTTGCCACTATCCCTCAAGAGGAAGGTATATAACAGCTGTATCTTGCCGGTACTTAGCTACGGAGCAGAAACCTGGAGACTTACAAAGAGGGTTCAGCTTAAATTGAGGACGACGCAGCGAGCAATGGAAAGAAAAATGGTAGGTGTAACCTTAAGAGACAAGAAGAGAGCAGAGTGGATTAGGGAACAAACGGGGGTTAAGGATATCATAGCTGAAATCAAGAAGAAGAAATGGACATGGGCAGGGCATGTAGCGCGTAGACAGGATAACCGCTGGTCATTAAGGGTAACTGACTGGATTCCCAGAGAAGGGAAGCGGCTTAGGGGGAGACAGAAGGTTAGGTGGGCAGATGAGATTAAAAAGTTTGCGGGTATAAATTGGCAGCAGCAAGCACAGGACCGGGTTAACTGGCGGAACATGGGAGAGGCCTTTGTCCTGCAGTGGACGTAGTCAGGCTGATGATGATGATGATGATGATGATGATGATGTATTGTCGATAAGTGGGTCCAGGGTTCGCGTTCCGTGAGATACGAAGGAAGTCTTTCCAAAATTCTGGAACCGGCATCAGTCTTCAGCATTTGCTCGTCCTCTTTTAAGTACACAGATTCGCTGTTAATGTAAAACATTTTACGCATATACGTACAAGGCGTCAAAATGGTTCATGCCCACACGTGTGTCCTTTGACTGAAAGTTAATATCGCCACTTTTCTGTTGTGGTATGGTCCTCTTCGATTTTTCATACTCCTGTTTGTTTTGGTCGTAACGAAAACAACGATGCATTTGTGGTTTTCGTGTAGCCGGAACGGCCTCTCAGGACGCAACTCGTGTTAGGCATCCTCATCTTGAGATGGCGTTTACACATGGTATCCAGCAGCATGTCTCGCACTGCACGAGCAAATGATTACACGGACGGCTTTGAAGATTGACTCTGTGGCAGAACTGCACCGGATTGCGGAATTTTCGAGCAGCGTATGAAGCTCCCCCACCAGGTGTTGACGAAGTTTTGTGATCACAAGAATTATTGAAGGACTACGGCTTTAGTAGCCTACTTATACAGTACTTAGGTCAGCAAACACCAAGGGAATCTTTTGAGTGGTGGTGACAGTCCAAGAAGGCACCCCTACGGGCCCAGGCGGGACGCAAAAAGCTGCGGTGCTCTGCTCATCACCTGACATGGCAGAGGGGTGGTTGTGAAGACAGCGGCCCAAACGTAGCTCCAGCGGTGCCTCGCAGCGGTAGCTGATGAGGACCCTCAGGATAGAGAGGACTATCGGACCAGGAACCACTCTCCACCACGTGTAAGGCAACGTTGAAGATGCGAGAATCTTCTTTTATTCGCTTAGCCTGAGCCCCACAACCGAGGCCAGCGGGATGATGATGAGTATATACAGGATAGAGCGCGTGAATAATGCTCGCAATACTTTCGACTATCTCAAGTCAAAATGAATGTACACTGTTTTCAACACTATAGCAAGCCGTCGAACGCAAATATACGAACTTACCCTTTGGCCCTGTCGATGCTGCGGGTGATGAGCTCGTGGTCCATGTAGAAGAAACCGATGCGGATGATGTGGAAGAGCACGTCCAGCCGGCGACCGAGACCCACCGTCTTGTCATACGTCTTGTTGAGCTGTGCCAGTGCCGCATCCTGCGAGCGCGTGGAGAACAAATAGCACCGCTTCGTTCCGAAACAAGGAAGCACTTGTTGAGGTACTGGTGTACAAGTATGTCTACAAGAGGGCCACAATGTCAAACTAATGACTGAGGGGTTGGGTTCATACTTGCTAGTATTATTGATACCGCACACGCTCAGTTCATTTCAGTAGCTTTTTGGCTGTCCTTATGGGCCATCGAGGTATACCAGCAGCCTGACGCTTGACGGCACGCCGACGCTTCACGCAAACGTCCAGTTCACAGCTGCCCCCTTCCCTACCTGAAATAATATTACAGAGCAACAGTAACAACACCCCATATTGTTTCTTTAGGCAACGCGCCTGGCACTTATTTCAACAGTTACGAAGAGTTACCTCATTCAGTAAGTAGTTACATTATTTGGTAAGTAAAGAAGCTGTTGCCTTATTTGATAAACTAAAGAAGCTGTGCCTTATTTGATAAACTATGTCCTGGTAAACGCACAATATCTGACCCTTCACATATTTCTTCATAAAACATTGGTCTTATCCTGCAAGCGAGGTTTTTGGAATTACTCACCAAATAATTTATCTATATTTGGTTCAAACCCTTAATACCTTCTCGTGGTATATGGCATACCCACGAGAAGGTATTAAGCATAGTCTTGATGTGCAAAGGGCATCAAGACCATGTTTTTTTTTTCATGAAGGGGCAAGTCATATCGTGCGCCTAAAACACCTTGGTTTAAAGAAAGCGGGGCTGGAATGTCTTGTCGGCTTATGCGCTTCCACACTGTTCTTGCTCGCTATTGTTCAAAATTATGCGTAGCCTCACGCAAGTCTGATGCCTGAATATGACGTAAGAATAAAATAGGGCATTGCCGCAGAAGGCCGGACTGTCTGGCACCCACCGTTCGACCACGTCGTCGCCTACAATTATCAAATAATTTCTTTTTGTTACTGTTAGGGCACATGTTCAGCCAATAAATTTTTCTAAAAGTTTATTGCTGACATCATCTCTGTTTTGTCGTTCTTGACGCCGTCCAGCTCGCCCTCACCTGCGTGACACCACCGTGCCAACGGCCCAACGATATGTTCCGGTGAAGATTATCGCAGAAAAGGAGGCACCTCAACTAAATGTGCCTGCAAGTTTTTATCACGGCAACTAAGGCCGTCCATAGCGAGACTATCTTGCAACAATTCTCGACTATCCGCACATCATTACTGTTAGAGGCACACCTAGGTACCGTTGATGCGGACCCAACGATGGAGGTGGCGATAATAACAACGCTAGGTGGCGTGACCATCCGTTCGTATCAGGGGTATGCGAGCTGCTGCAGAGATCCGCCACCTGGTGACACCAAGTCCAACTACACCATGTGAAACTGCGAAGTGCTCGAACATATTGTTACGGGGAAGCAAGGTCATGCCTTTTGGGTTGTGTAATGCCCCGGCTACTTTTAAGCGTATGATGAACTGTCTTCTTCGCGGTTTCAAATGGTCGACCTGCCTTTGCTATTTGGATGATGTAATAGTTTTCTTGCCCTCCTTCGAAAGCCACCTGTCTCGTCTCTCGGCAATTTTTGACGTTTTTTGTTGCGCTGGTCTCCAACTGAATTCGTCGAAATGCTCATTTGGACGACGGCAGATTAAACTACTCGGCCACCTTGTTGACGCCACTGGTGTTCAACCCGACCCTGACAAAGTTCGTGCAGTCCGAAAATTCCCAGTTCCGCGTTCCACCCAAGAAGTTCGCAGTTTTATTGGGCTCTGCTCATACTTCCGCTGCTTTGTCTTCAACTTCGCGGATATTGCTAGGCCCCTAACGGATCTCCTCAAAAAGAATGTGGCCTTTTCTTGGGGAAGGGACCAAGAACATTCCTTCGCGTCGCTAATTACCGCCCTCACATCACCACCTGTGTTGGCTCATTTTGATCCAGCGGCTCGAACAGAGCTTCGTATTGATGCAAGCGGCCATGGCATTGGTGATATACTCTCTCAGATACAGAATGGCACCAGCCGTGTGATAGCCTACGCTAGCCGACTTTTGTCGCAAGCGGAGCAAAATTATTCCATCACTGAGCGGGAATGCTTAGCCCTCGTTTGGGCTATTGCGAAATTCCGTCCGTACTTATACGGACGTCCGTTCGCAGTCATCACGGACCATCATGCGCTTTGCTGGCTGTCGACGCTTAAGGACCCTACAGGAAGACTCCGCCAATGGGCAGGCACTTCGATTACAGGAGTACACGTTCTCGGTTGTTTACCAATCTGGAAAGCTGCACAGCGATGCTGACTGCTTATCCCGGCACCCCGTTGATCCACCTAGCTCCACTGATTTGGAATCCGATGCCTGCGTTTTAGCCATCACTGACTTTCTGAACGTGGCCGACGAACAGCGCCGAGATCCATCGCTGCTCACCATCATTGACCACCTTCAATCGCGTTATGCTGACCCTTCTCTTAGCAGCTACCTACTTCAAGACAACGTTTTGTACCACCGCAACTTACACCCCGACGGCGCGGAACTTTTACTCGTCGTACCGCATCACCTCCGAAAGGATGTTCTGCGACAATTCCACGATGCTCCAACTTCTGGACATCTAGGAGTCTCCAGAACTTACGACCGCATTCGACGACGAGTATTCTGGAAGGGTCTCTACCGCTCCGTTCGCTGTCACGTCGCATCTTGCGACCTCTGCCAGCACCGAAAGAAGCCTACGACTCCCCCTGCCGGTCTTCTTCAACCTATTGAAGTTCCAGCCGAGCCATTTTATCAAGTGGGGTTGGACTTGCTAGGTCCCTTTCCTACTTCTACAACTGGAAATAAATGAATTGCAGTGGCCACAGACTATGCCACTCGGTATGCAATCACTCGAGCGCTACCAACCAGCTGTGCAACCGACGTTGCCGACTTCCTGCTGTACGACATTATTCTCCAGCATGGCGCTCCGTCTCACCTGCTCACAGACCGTGGTCGCTACTTTCTATCTTGTGTGGTTGATGATCTACTCCGATCTTGTGCTACCCATCACAACTTCACCACATCTTACCACCCTCAGACTAACGGCCTGACGGAGCGCCTAAACCGCACATTGACAGACATGCTTGCCATGTACGTATCTACCGACCACACTGATTGGGACATAGCTCTTTCGTTTGTAACCTTCGCCTATAACTCGTCGCATCATGAAACAGTGGGCTACTCCCCTTTTTATCTACTCTTCGGACGTCATCCTTTACTGCCCTTCGGCACACTGCTTTCATCAGACCACCCATACTCCACTTCGTACGCTCAGGATGCGATCACCCGGGCCCTGACGGCACGCGTGGTAGCGCGCGTTCGGTTATCATCGTCGCAGAGAGCACAGAAGTCTCATTATGATCGTCGACATAGAGATGGCGTTTTTTCTGCGGGATTTCTTGTTCTCCTGTGGCTCCCATCTCGACGTGTCGGCCTCTGCGAGAAACTACTATCGCGATACGCTGGGCCCTACTGATTCATTCGTCAGGTCACACCTGTGACCTACAAGATTGCCGCTACCACAAACTCATCAGCTGCTGCATCCAGAACGGCAGTAGTCCACGTTTCTCGTCTCAAGCCCTACAACGCCGACTCGCTCATTTAACAGGCATCGAGACGGTGCCTTATGGGCCGGGGTGATGATACGTGTATGGAACTGTCGCCCAGACGCAGCTGAATTGGCACCCAAATGAAGAAGACGACAACGTGGTTGTTGTAGGCTGGACTCTCGAGCTTCTCCCGTTTTGCCTACATGACTGTGCACTCTCTATCCGTATTTATCCTACGGCTGCGAGAGGTACTGGGATCGATACCCAGCACCTCAACCAAAAGATGTTACGGGGAAGATTTATTCACCGAGAGCTGGTCTTGCTAACGGCTTAGAGAGCGCACAGTCATGCAGCCAAAACGGGAGAAACTCGAGAGTCCAACCCATAACAACCACGATGTCGTCTTTTTCATTTGCGTGCCAATTCAGCTGTGTCTGGGCGACAGCACCATACACGTATCTTCATCTTGTACAATTTCGTGGAGTTCAATAAGTGGTAATGACACACTACATTACACAAATGTGAGCTATGTATAATTTTTATGAACAGGGATAGTTATCGCAAACAGGCTGATGAACGTTCCGAGCAATGGACCTACTTCATCAAAGGCTTGGGCGAGTTACTTTTGAGTCGTTGACGCCCTGCCGCCTGGCGTCTGAAGGAAAGTATTATACAAAGAAAAAACTTGCCAGAAAACTTCAAAGAACATCAGCTTGGTAACAAAAAAAAAACCTTGAGCACAACTGAATAGCAAATTTTTGCGTTCAAAGGAAAACGCAGGTTACTATAATAACCATTAGTCAATGGGGCTTTCGAGATGCGACGGTAGCGCCTGAACACACCACCCGTAGAGTTTTTTAAAATGAACTAGAGGGGAGTGAGGCACTGCGATCCTTCAGCGACCATGGTAATGACGTAGTACATAGATTTGCCTAGTCTTCGAGCTTGCGGGCTTCGAACACACTTTTGGCTTCATTTATTGTGGTGTTTTGGTTTCTGTTTCGAATGAAAAGGCAAACAATATTGAACTTCGCGACCATGGATTTGAATTTGTGAGCCTAAAAGGTTAAGGTGGGGAAGTGCAACGGCTGAACATTTGCCAATTGTCGTTTCGTGACGAAGCAGCTCCAAGTGACATGAAGCCAAACAAAGCTGAAATCTCAAAGATTAGGCAAGTCTGTGTACCACTCATCATTTACATGGTCGCGCTAGCCCTCTGAGGTGCAGCTCCCATAGACACTGTAGTGTCTATGGAAGCTGCATGCTACACAAGAGGGAATTCTGGCGCTATAGTGCCAGAATTTTCTCTTATGTATCTATAGGAAACTATTGACGCCCCCCCCCCCCCCCAGAGTGTGTTGAAACTAGGAATGTCAGACGCTGAAGTTGCTAGCAAGCAAATGATAATCACAAAATACGTCCAAAAAGAAGCGGCATTCAGAGA